AGCTTACAGCTAGCGGGTTTTACCTGGCTTTGTCCGACTCCAGTATTTTTCTTCAAATGTTAGAGCTTTCACCCATTTGCCGCCCGCAAAAATATTAAAGTGAGTTGCCATTTCCACCTCTCTATCGGCTTCAAATTGTAATTCACACAGAAATGATCGATCGGATAACAAAATATATATCTATATAATAGATATATAAACAGTTGTGCTGATGCCCAGAGGTGTGGATTTTCCGAAAAGCGTGAAACATGTATACAATACATATTCACAAAGTTATTTTAGTTTGAAGCGCATTGAATGAAGCAACACCTTAGCGGCACTTGCAACATTTTAAACTCTGTCAGACAATCAATAATTCAGGAAAAAACAAGTGTTTTTTGAAAAATGTGAATATGTGGATTCTAAACAAAATGAATGTGGAATAAACTCAAGATATGTCAGCCTTCTAACCCGCAGTAAATGTGGTTTTTCCGCAAGAACTGACTGCCTGGATTGCCAGCTGATGCCCTGTTGCATATGAAACCCATATTGATCAGTTCAAGAACCTTTGAGGATAACTCTGGCACATATCAAAGCTAGCCTGTCAGCTGCCAAGAGCGAGCAACGCTTCAATAACTCAGCCGGAATCGTGTTCACCCCTTTGTGCGTGCCACATACCAAATGCAAATGCAAATTCATGGGGCACGCTCTCTGGGCCATGGCTGCTTTGACTGCTTTGCATATTGACATCATCATTTTGCCGAGACGACAAACTGTCAAACAAAACAATTGCTGTCAAATTTACTACAATGAGCCGGGCGCTGAAAGCGGCCAAAGGAAGTGAGATGAACAAAAAGCCAAAATATGGGAGAAATAAAAATGCTCGATAGAAAAAAATTGAGCTGTCAGTGTTTTTTTTTTCTCGCTCTCTTTATGGGGGAGCAGGCCAAGAAGCAATTTCGACATATCAATAAATTTTTGACAATTTCTGTAAGGCAAGACAGAGACACATAGGAAACTGAAAAAGTAGAAACACCTTTTCAATAAATTTGCTACAACTGTCAGGCGAAACAATGTCATTGTCACGGCGCTGCCGACTTGCAGGCGAACTGAGTCGACCTATAAACCTGTCACTGGCTGCGGCTCGCACTGGAATTGAAGGCATGCGACGGCCCCTGGGTCGGGCCCGGCGATGACAACGACAACGACGACATTATTGTCGCTAAACAAACGATCAAATGGCAATTTAAAAGTTTTTATTTAACACTAAATCACCCACACTCCGGCACAAATGAGACGCCATCAACCGCTGAAGTCCCACCACCCTACCATCCCACCAGCCCCTGAGCCTCTGAGCCCACTTCACCCTTTTGGCGGGTGGCCACCTGACGCGAGCGCTTTCTTTTTCAATTTCGAACCCTTTCGACTCCGGCGGGCTGGCAACCCTTGCGCGATTTTCAATAACTTGTAGTGAAAGCAGCCGAACAAAAGGCGCAAAAGTTTACCGAGTTAAATTATGAGGTTGTTTCTGTTTCTGTTTCTTTATTATTTTGTATTTTTTTTTTTGCTTTCCACTTGTTTGGCTGGGCTTTCGTTCTTCTTTTTTTTACCCCTTACCCATTGACAGTCTGACTTTTGACTCTCCATGGGGAATTTAACGCTGTTGTTTCGTTGCATGCATGAAAAAATATTGTGCCACAAGCAGCAAGGAGCAGGACTCGGCGGTGTATTGGTATTGACAACATTGCAGAGCTTCAACTTGGGCACAAGCTATGCTAATGCCTCAAAATTGCCCGCATTGTGAACTTTTTCAAGTAACTGGCTTTACATTCAGCTTGTGTCAAAATTTGGGCGATGTTATTGGAAAGCATTAGCACGAGATTTGGTAAAGAAACGCCTTTCAATTTTAAAGCTTAAGATATTACATTTGATTTGTGTTTAAATTAAAGGAAATAATAATAGCTAAAAAAACTATAAAAATGGCTAATTAATAATATAAATAATAATAAAAATGGTAGTAATAACAAGGCTTAAGATATTACATTTTATTTTATCTAATTACTGAACATAATAATAAGTGATAGAAATAAATTTTAAAAAATAACTGTAATAGTAAGATTGTCTATAATTAAAATTAATAAAAGATAGTCCGATTAATAATCGTTATAAAAATTGTTGTATTGTTTTCTAAAAGTTTAATTCCTTTTTTAAAGGTTTTAATTAAATATTTGAAAAATCGAAAGGTCATTAAAATCAGCAATATATAAATATTATATTAATAATAAATAGATAAATATAAATATCTGTCCAAATATTATTAAATACCACAAGGTCGGGTGAGTGGAAAAGTAATGGCACCTGCCAAATCTGTATAATCATATTACATTTCAGATATAATGCTCTTTTTGTAAATTGAATAACATTTTGTTATATATTCAAATGTTTTCAGATTTGCATATCATTGCATGGACTGCTGCATGAGCGGAGTAAACATATAAAATTTGTTAAGAATTTCACTTGCTTTTGTTCAGCGATATTTTATTTTATTTAGATTTCTATGCATTTGTGAATTATGAATAAAATACAGAGTTTGTGTGCTGAGTGCTGCCAATGCAAAGAATCTGTCAGCCTAAAACTGTATACTAAAAATAGACCAAGCAGCTTGGTTAAATATAAATTATATTATTTAGTCATAAATAAGAAATCAAGAGTATCGTGGCTTACAGACTTGCAAATAAATGAGAAACAATTCAAGCATCTACTAAGCTTACTTAAAGAGTTATTAGTTAAACCAAAAAGTGTTTTTAATTTTGCTCGTTTTAAACATGTGTGTATGACATATATGGTACATTTATTAAATGCGCTACTCTAAAATCGTGTTTTTGTATTCACATCAACTGCTGAAATTTGCATTATGGGCCATGCAAGAGAGAGGTGTCGTATAAAATGTGGCATACATCAGGTTAGCTACTACTAGTCTAATATAGCGGGCTATTCAGACCGAACTATTAACAAGTAAAAAAAAAGAAATGAAGCCAATCGACCAGTCAAAGGTTCTATTGTTATTAAAATTGTTGTCGTTATTGTTGTGCTGATGATCTGCATTGCCAGCATATATACTTAGGTGGGATACATGCTAGTATATATGTATGGCTATTCATCCTGCCAGCGCTGCTGCTGCTGCCGTTGAAGTTGATGTTGTTGCTGCTGCGGCTGCAACAATTGTTGTCACGCTTCGTTGAACGGCAGCGGCGGCGGCGGTGGCAGTGGCAGCAGCAACAACTGTGAGGCTGATGACGACGTCGCTCTATAGGGCTGATTGAAAGATTATTTTGCACTGATAACGCTAAAAACGTATGGTTGGATGGTTGACCACAAACCACCACCAGCACCAGCACCAGCACCAGCACCACCAGCACCACCAAGAGCAGCAGCAACAACAACAAAAGTCAAATAGAGCGAAGCAGCTCGGCGCTGCACAAAAATTGCAGTTCGAAAATTGTTGCGCTTTCGGTTTGCGTGTTTGCATTTTGCATTTAGCATTTTATATTCATTGCGTTGTCCGTTGTCGGTTGTCCATTGTCGGTTGTCCATTGTCGGTTGTCGGTTGTTGGTTGTCTGCAGCGCCGTCGGGGTCATCATCAATTCGCAATGCATTTCCCACATATTCAGCGGCGTTCCGAGCGACCATCATCATTAATAATATTGAAAAGCCCTAATTACAGTTAAGTGGCCCAAACGAGTCTTATATGATGGGCACCAGGAGAAAAAGAGTGAGAGCGAGAGCGAGCGCGATAGAACCGGGGGGAGAGTTTGGATAGGGCATGGCATAGACTGGCCTGGGCTACTGCAAGACGTATTGAACTTGGTTAAAGGGTGCCAGTTCGACTTCCACTTTGACTCATCAGAAACTGGGCAACTTTAGGAGCCTGTCTCGCTCATTGCGTAAATCATTTTTCCCACCCCTGAAAAAGGGCGAACGTGCTGCATGTTTTGCCTTCACCTGCCCAAGGTGCCTCAGGTTGTGCAGGTGCATGTTGCAAGTGCACAGACGGGCAGGCAGGCTGGCGGGCCCCTGCCCTGACCCAGACACAGGCAGAGACCTCGACTGCTGATGACCCTTGAATTGCTATAATGAAATCATTTATAACTTTTCTTCCTTATGACCACTTTGTGCATGTGTGTGTGTGTGTGCATGTGTGTGCATGTGTGTGCGTGTGTTGTTTTTGTTTGCTGTCTATGTGGGCTTGTTTGTAAGTAGTTTTTTTTGTAGCCAGGATCAGTTCGGTCATTTCTATCTGAGTCCTGAGCCCATTGATAACAGCACAGAGGTCGAGCACGTGTCTATTGCGCAGCTGCGACAGCTGAGACGAGAGAGAGAGAGAGAGGGAGGGAGAGCGAGAAGCAGACGGACTTCTCTTGTTTACCTAACAAGACAGCTATTTTTCGTTGGGGTCAATATTCTCTGAAATATATTAGAATATAAATTAATTATTTAAAATAATAAAATTAAAAGTTAATCTTACATTTGGATAATTATATCATTTTAGCTACCTAGTGGAAACTATATATCCTAGTTCTTCGCTCGCTAAAGATCAGAAGGTAGTAATCGATTCCAGCGCATATACAAAACCAAATAATAATAATGTATGGGTAATTTAATAAAGCGAATGCACATTAATAATTATTATATTAATTATCATGTTATATTAATTATAATTATCATACCAATAATAAGTATTTAATCGGTATTTAGTTGGTATTTAATCAGTAATTAACAGATATGTTTTTTTCTTCTCATTTATTGATACTATATTAATTTACCTACTACTAATCAGCGTTAATTATAGTGTAGTAGCTTCTGATATTTATTGTTAAGGTAATCGTACCGCCTTATATATCGAAAAAAATACAAATTCCCAACTGCAGTTCTCTCGGGCAAGCTTGCAATCAAAGCAGGCGTAGTTTTAAGCAAAAATCGCTTGTGTTGTTTTTATAGGAATTATAGCTACATTTATTTTCAACTTATTATTATGTCACACCAAAAAAATAGATAAAAATTGCTAGTAGTATTATTCAAGTATTTTGGGATTGAAAGCAAATTTCACTTTGGGATTTTCACATAACGCGCAGATAAAATAGCCAAATTTACAGGAACTAAGAATATGAACACGAATATATGGAGTTCATCTCAAATGGCTGGTACTGGAGGCGCACTGAAGGCACTGGCCAAGAATCTGGCCAATCAATTGACCCTAAATCGAACGGAAATGAAACGCGTGGTAGCTCGCGTCATATCGGAGTGCCATGGCCAGGGTCATGTTGGTGACTACAATGGACACATGTTCTATGTGAAGCCAGAACGCATTGATATGACCAAGCAGATCACACACTCCAAAGAAGCATTCGACGAGATGATACGTCAGAAGCGCGTGCGGTCCAAGAATGAAATGCAGCGCTCTCCCTCCGGCTCCCGCTCCCTCACATACAAGCTGGCGGTAGGGGACAAGCCGGAGAAGAGCCTCACTGGCGTCATCATTGACAAGAATCATCTGCGACCAGGCGGCCGTTCCAGAGACATTGTGGTTGAAATATCCAAGCCGATTATTCAAATCAAGAGCAAGCAGCAAATCAAACGCAAGCCTAAGCCTCCACATAAGAGTCAGGTGAAAAGGAAAGGCCCAGCGAAAGTCCGTCCCGCCACCCTGAGCAAGCCCAAATCCTTGAACAAGTTCCAAAGTCAGGTCAAACCAAAGCAACTTACCAAAAAGAAATCGATTGCCAAGGCCGAAAGGAAGCCTGCGAAGGCCAAATTGTCGGCTGCCAAAAGTCAGCAATCCCGTCAGACGCTGCAACCAGCCAAAGCCCGGCTACCTGCTGGCGATGCAGTGCGTTCAACGGTGCCAGTCATTAAAGAGGCGCCTAAATCAAAGAGCGATCCATCTAGTCGCCCACGGACCCCACCATCCACAGCTGGTACAACGCTGAAAAAGCCGGGCATCTTGAAGAACAAGAAGAGCGTCAAGCTTACGAAAACGAAGAGCATCAACAGCTGCAAGACCACCTTGGAGGAGAAGGGTAAAAAGAAACCGAAGCGCCTCACCGCCGGCGGCAGCGGCTTTCCAAAAACCAGTCGCAGCGTGACCTTGCCGGCAAAGAGGCGCGAGCTTCCGACCTGGCGCAATAACTGCCAGTTCCAAGCCAACGCAGCCGCTATCTATCGGCAAAATCCAGTGAACGCCAAGCTGAAAGGCAAGCCGAGGACTCGCCCAATGCCAACTGGTAAACACAAACCGGTCCAGCCCGTAAATAGCGTCCGGCGAATGCGCAACATGCGCTCGCAGGCGCGTCTAGTCAAGGATCTGGAGGGGAAGGAGGACATTGACGATCCGGAGCGCTTGGAAGCAGGCAGTATGAACCTCTATAGAGCCAATGAGAATGATCCCCCGGTCAAGCGGCTCAAGCGCGTCTATAAGATCAGCGCACGCCTTCAGGAGCTGGCCCAGCCGCCGCCACATCGCAGATTCAACCCGGAGTCGGCACCCGTTCGCTCCCGTTCTCCGATATTCAGGCCTAAGCCGAAGCTGAGGTCACGTCGCTGCAGACGCCGCGTTATAGTGGACAGCAGCCTGGGCAGCATTGAGGGCCTAAAGGCCACCTCACGCTCAGGCCTGTCCCCGGCTAAGCGCAACCTGACACTCGCCTTCAGAAACAAAGAGGGATCACGCAGTCCACACAGTCCACGCCAAAAGCAGAGCGTGCTCTGGCGGTAATTGGAAATCGTTACGAGATCGAGATGGTAGCCGGCAGCCGGCAGCTGGAAACGGTTGACGGTTTCTTTCATTTTGGCCCGCGGAAGCTCTCTGTTCTTCTTATTAAACTGTTCTTATAGTGCGTACTGACTTTTGTCCTGTTACTTTCTCGTGGGCACCCTAATAAATTTTGAAGTAATAACTTATGTGATGTGTTCCATTTAGTTTTTACACGTTGACTTTAATAAAACAACAACAATTCTATCTCCTTTTCCATTTATTATGCTCTGAACCCATTAAAAATGGGTAAAAGGGGTAAATTGTATTTCTGCAAATGTATGTAACAGGCAAAAGGAAGCATCTTCGACCCTATCAATATTATTGATCAGCATCAGCATCCGCCAGTTTGCCTGTCTATCCGTTTGTCTGTAAGTGTGAAAGTGTCGATTCTAAAACCTAGAAATTTTGTCAGTAGGCCCTCCTAGTGCCCGCGCCTTCCGAGCTCGATAACGTTTTCAAGCAATCGATAAAAGTCGATATCAAAATCTTAGTTTTTGAGCAAATCTGCTTGGTTAAAATGGCTATAGCCTTATATAAATAGGGCAAGTATCTTTCGTTTTATAGATATTGCCAGCCCATTCCCCTAAAGCAGCCAGCGTGAGCTGCATTTGGTGTTGGTAGACGAAGGTTCAGGGTATCCGCTAGGCTGGTTTTACTTAATGGAGATGACATTGAGATTGCCGGAATATTGTATGCATAAATATATATGATGCAAACATCCATTGATGATGCATTGATCCAAATATCTCTTTTCTCTCTCTATCCTTCCCTTCCTCAAGCTCAAGAGGATATTGTACACATACATCGTTGGTATATTGAAGTTGTATTGTTTAATGTCACAATGGAATTGGAAATTTCTGACGAAAATCAAAAAACAGCCCAAGCCGGACAAACAATTCTATTTAAATGGCCCCCAATGAAATGAGAATTGCTGACCCAAATCTGAAAGTAGTTCATAGATCTCAAAGTGAATGCAGTGTTCTTTTCATATGAAGAAATTTTAAAGGATCTTCAAGCAAAAAATTTGTAAATCTAAATCTGAATCAAGTGCATTAGTTAAATACATTCATGAATATGATTTAAGTTGGAAATAAACTTTCTTATCATTTATAATTATATCAAATTATATTCGTTGTACATGAGCTTTGTGAGCTTGGGACCAGTTAAAATTTTCCCATAGAAATGAAAAATCATAATTGGTGTACGGTATTTAAATATACGGTCCACTTTTTCGGTCCCAATGCATGCTAGTTAGGCGGGGATGGGTGTATATATTAAATTTATCTTCTAAGCTGTGAATATTAACATAAACTATTGAAAGTCGAAAGCCACAACATCTACAAAAAAAACATTAATAAAAGCTAAATATAAGTATATTTTATTATAATAATATTTGTCTGGTCACACTTGAATTGAAGATGAATTGAAAAAAAAAAAACAATCAAAAATAGAACAAAGCTTATTGTTTGATTGAGTGAGCTGAGCCACATATCATAAGGTCGAGTATTACAGATATTTTCATCAATATATGCAAAATATATTAATTTTTGTATTAATAAATGATTGCCTTACTAAGATTAGATATTGCACATTTGGCAAAACTAAGCTAGTTAATAATATTATATTCAATACATTTCGTTGCCCTTGTCGCCAGCCAAGTTAGTTGCCGATACCATTTGCGAGTTGGCCTTTGTGACGCTCACTCGCGAACCAAAAAATGCATTGGCTTGAACGGCTGAAAGGGTGTTTGGAATCATTTAAGCATTGCGGTGTGAAATTTCACACCGATTGCAATAAAAAATTCAAGCGGCCAACAATAAAACGAGCTGTGGCAAGAGAAAGGCGCTACATTGAAACAGAATCAATCAAACTGAGAAACGATCGTGGCTGGGCTCGCACCCGAGCAGGGACCCAGCTCTGTCGACATCTGCGCATGCGCATGCGCTGCCAGGCCGGATGTGAATGTGTCTGGTAGCTGGGGCAACCGATCCGGGCCGTGTTGAGTCGGCGTTAATGGTGTCACTAAGTACGCCGCAAACGGACAAACCAGACAATCGACTCGCAACTGGCAACTGGCGACCGACCGGACGCGCGGTGGCCCTCAGCTCAGCGTCTGATCATCGAATGGAACCAATAAAAGTTGCCTTCATTGTCTTTATTTGCGCGGGTCGCGCGTCTGTGCGCAGCCTGCACTCAATGTACTCATACTCGCACTCATTTCCATTAGCATTTCATTCAATTTGCATTCGGCTGGCAGCGGGTCGCCGTCCCGACCGCGGACACTGTTTGGTTGAATGGTCTTGCTGGTCTTTCGGGTGTTGTGGGTCTTGCGGGTGTTGCGGGTGTGTGTGGGTACACAGCAACCAAAACAATTCAATTGTCCGGCTGGTTGGGTTTTTTGGTGTTGGTTTTCTTGTTTTTTAGCTGTCAGTTACGGTACATTGCATATCACACATTAGCGATGTGACGAATCCAATAACGATAACGATAAAAATGACAATGACAATGTGTCGGGTTGAGATGCGTTGAACATCTCACACATACCAAACATTCTAGTCTCTAGACTTATGTCTATTTGAACGAACTAGTAACTAATCACATCTATTGACGGCCCTGGCCGCAGCGTGAGCAATGCATATCTCTTATTTGTCGTCTGGTTGTTTGATAACACAATAAAAAAATGAAATTTGATTCACATTGTGTAACATTGCTTCATGAATCTTACAGCTTATTGCACTTAATTTAGGTGATATATTCAAGGAAGATTTTCAATTTAATTTAGCTGAGATCCACTTCAATTTCAACTAATTGAACCTATTACCTGCTTTAAACTCTTGAACTTGATCTTTAACACTGTCACGACGATATCAGCATTGAATTAATATAAGGGACTAACGGCTGATAAAACTCGGAAGTGTCTTACTTGCCCCAAGCTCGTCGAAAATGGGCAAGCCTCTCTGCCTCTTAAATCGAGTGTCCATCAAATTAAATACCAAGCAAAACCTTTCAAAACGTGGCGAATATTGCAATCGATCAAATATCGATAATAGAAATGAGATAAAAACTCAATTCAAGTAGTCGAACCTACCTAATTCTGCCTTCTTAACCAACACCCCATATAAGAGATACAAGCTTAGCATACAACAAGAACGTAGAATTCTTCGAAACGAAGAAGTCTTAAGTCTTATCGAAGTCATTAACAATCAGTATTTTAATAATAGAATATCGAAATAATAAGTTAACTTAATTCAGCTGGAAATTGCATGTGTCTGACTTGTTGCACACAGAAGTGTAGCTTATCGATCCGAGTACCAACCTCCGCCCATCACTCTCTTCCCATTTCTCTACAACTCGGACCATCTGAGTGCCCGCATATCGAAACTGGGAACCGAGTCACAGTCGGAGTCGGATTCGCTGGCGAAGTCGCACTCGTACTCGCACTCGCACTCGCACTCGCACTCGTATCGAGTAAATGTTAATTGTGTCTGCAATATTTTTTCCAATGAAACATTTTTATGTTAATTCGAAAAATTGTTTTACAACCAATTAACTTAGCCAATGCACCAAAAAGATCAACGGACAAGATCGCTGGCTCAGCAACAGCAAACGGTGAGGAGGGGGGAAATGGGAACTAACAAGTGAGGGCGAGGGTCATCGCTAGGCTGTGAAGGGTGAGGGATAAAAAAAGCCAGCGGATCGCATTGCATTGCATGCCGCACGCCGCTTGGAATTTCATTACGCGACTGTCAGTTAGGTTCAACCAGAAGTCAGCCAGCGGGCAGGCAGGTGTACAGGCAGGCAGGCAGGCAGGCTGGTGGTGCTTGTGGTGGTGGTTGTTAGGGGCTCTCTTTGCTGCGGGTCCTCGGCGGCTCGCTCTAAATCAATCAAGCGCAGCAAACGCCAAAAACACAAACAATTTCAATTAAAATGCCAGCGTAGCCGCCACCGCCACCGCCAGAGCCCTTACCCCTCCCCCGCTGCTTGTAAATAGCGCGCGCGCGGCAGCTACAGGTGCGATTGTCAGCCACCGCCTGACCTGCCACTGCCACTGCCACTGCGGTCGTGTAATGTAATTAGGAAGTTATGTGAGGGTCGCCGCCGCATCAATCGAACCATCGATCGCGGCGACGATCGCTCGATCGTTTCAAATTTAAATGCTGTGTCGAGGTCTAGCGAATAAAGTCATGTCAGCAGCTGCTAGCTGGGGATCGCGCTGGTCCGGGGCAGGGCTGGTCTACTGCCAAGTGGTCATTCATGATGTTGCAGGTTTCGCGGCTGATCAAATTTTCCCAGGCCCAAGATCTTCATTAGTTGCGTGGCTTGCCTATCGAGCTGGCAGATCAGCTGTGCAACTGCTCGACATCCTTAGAGAATTATGATTTTTGTTACGTTTCGCCATCTTTGGACTCCTGACTGCTGACTGCTGACTGCTGACTCCCAGTCCCCTCCCAGTGACTACCCCTATCCAGATGATATACGAGGCTCTGGCACTCGAATGCTTTTCAGCTAATCTAGCGCTAAGCATCGCAGTCACGTTGTTCTCAGGCGGTGTTGTTGTTGGGTCGTTTGGTTGGCTGCTTGCTTCGTGGTGTCTGTGTGCCATTTTAAGGCGGCGTCCACGACGACGACGACGACGATGACGACGACCACGCACTGGAGTTGGCTCTTCTATGAATCTATGGAAACTAGGCAAGCTAATTGCGTTGCGTCAACGTATAGGTGAATTATTATAAAGAAGCCATAAAAAAATTATTATAGCCAACTGACGGCTTTGCTCCACTCGCTGATCGCGGGGACGATAAACGTGGCAACAGCAACAACAACAACAGCAACAACAACAACAACAGCACGAAATCAGAGCTCGTTAAAAAAAAACTCTCAAGTTGAACCAATCAAAAGACGCGCTGTCGGCGTCGTCATAAAAACAGCGGCAACAACAAAAAATTATTAAAGATCAGATACGTATTTACAATACATAAAAACACACTCACACATACACATGCAGATGTATACGCAGGTATATGCCCACAGCAGTTAAAAGGTAGGGTATCACTTCACAATTGAATGTCAAATGGATGGAAATGTGTATATAAAAAATTGTGCATAATTTAATGAAATATAATATAACAAATATATATAT